AGCGCAGCCCACGCTTTCAGCCGGCCCAGTTCTCGCCGGAAAGCTGCTGGTGGCTTGGCTTGGCTCGTTTCAAAGGGGTGGACAGGGGTCTGAACCATTTGTTCGAGTACGTGGGTACAGTCCCTATATAGTTCTATGATGATATACTCGGAATCCGTATTGTAGTTAGGGCCCCGGGCTTCTCCGCCTTGGCGTTCGAATCTGGGAATGGCAGCAACAAAGGCTTTCGGTCCTGAGTAAATGTAGAACTATGATTCCAATGCTGCGGCTAGCTTAAATCCCAATTGTTTACAGGCATTTAAATGCGCACCTTCCATATTTCTGGGGTCTGTCGTCTTGTGTGCCTTGTGATCGCGAGGAGGATCTTGATGATTCGGTCTGAATGTGTCACATTCCTGCTAGAGTCATGCAGGAGTACTCGACTGACTCGAAGTCTGGACACAAGAGGGTCACAGAAAGAGCCAACATTGGACCCACATGTGTGAGGCGCCCGAGAGAAAAGGCAGGCATGACAATAAGCATAGCACCAGCCACAAGATACAACCAGAGGGACATGATTCAAGAAAAAACGCACTCGAGAAGACCCCGGCTCGTGAAGGCCACTAGGTTCCCTAAAAGGTCGATGGCCTTCGACCAGCGCTGCAAGAGTTGGGACCTAGCATCAAAAAAGAAACGCGGTATTCAACTCTTTTTAGGGTTGAAGTCCCAACCCCTAAACCCCTTACCCTACACCGTTTCAGGTGCAGCTGACTCCGCAGCGAGCGTTTTTCATGCCGGCCGCGCCGGGCAAAGGCAGCCTTCGGAAAGAGGGCTTTGGGTTTAGGAACTCAAACTGTGTGCAGCTTAGCCATGGTATCCGCTGCTCGGATTTCTTTACAATTGAGATTCGAGTTCTTGTGCGTGAGAGTATAATGAATCGTAACATCTCTTGCTGGCGGTGGGGCCTCCAATGTTCCGAGCTTTGAACTTCGGCGAATCTGTACCTGCTCAGTCCTTCTAGTCCTTGTCTCTGTCCCGCTTTAGGGGTAAGGATCAGACATGCGTTGGTTCGATGCTGCAAGCATTGCAGGAGAGGCAATTTCCCGGCTGCGCTGTTCTACACCCAAGCCGTCACATCATGATTTCAGCAGGGCTGCGGATGTGTGACTTTCGATGGCTCACGCTGTGGTATATAGCCAGCACCCACAGCCCACAGTAGCCCAGTATCCTCTCATAGTATCGTGAGGCTATGGTCTACTGCAAAAAGTTGATCCAATGATTAGCGGGCCCCATGTTACATGAATACAGCGGCATCAGCATCATGGGCCCTCCGCCCTTCGTTATCAAGCATCAGCCTCAAACACAAGGATGCTCCTCCCCACAGCGAGACCGCTGAATAGCAATCTAATGAGGTTAGTTTACAGGCCAGCGTCCTCGTGATCTAGACCTATCGCTGTTTCCATCACCAGCACTATTGGCATCACGGCCATCAGAGCTGGAACCACGGTCATCATCATCATCATCGTCGTCACAACCATCATCATCAACATCATCCTCAGCACCTCATAATCCTCATCCTCATTATCATCACCATCGTCGTTACCATCACCATCATCGTCATCATCGTCATCATCGCATCATCATCACCATCATCACCATCAGCACCATCAGCTTCATCAGCATCATCAGCATCATCAGCATCATCAGCATCATCAGCATCATCAGCATCACATAGCTTCATGGCCTGTTATTCTTCACACACGGCGCACCAGGGAAGAACCAATATTGGTTCCTCTTCCATGTTCTGACTTTGGACGTAACTCACAGGCCACAGTGCAGAGCAAGCTGTCCAGGCACCATTCCACCTGCTGCCGTCTACCCGTCCGGTTGTCGAGCGCGAGGGCCCCCAGCCGGCTCTGCTGGAAAAGCCGGTTGATTGTGTGATTCAACAATCGAGGAGGGTTTTGAGGGGTATTATAGTGGAGACTCAGTCTACATCTTCGCTCGGGTTCACGGTTTTCAATGGCAACTGAACCCAAACCCTAGACTCGAATCTTGAACCCCTGAAGTCAGAGACGTTCGCTCCTTCCAACCGCACGAGGCCGTCCTTTATTGAGCTTCAGGGGTCACCTAAGGCCTGTGAAGGAGAAGCCCCCAAATCGCAGGGTTCTGAAAAATCGGAATGTGATATTCCCTTCTTGCCCGGCTATAATTGTTGGAGGTATTAGACCATGACCATACCACCGTTTGCCCTCTCAGGGTTCAAGCGAGCATCCGCGACCCCTTCATTGTACTGCGTTGTCAGGCCGATGTTGGCGCTGCTTGTAATCTGCTTGTTGTTTGGCTTCGGAGTTGTGGGTTGACTTTGGGGTTTCTGGAGAGGTCCTGTCAACGGTCTACCAAGATCCGATGAGAGGTTAGGGCCTTCGGGTCTACTTAAAGGGTCGCTTGACCTAGTAAGTAGGGTCAGAAGTCTGCTAAGGGTACTTATAATCTCAATTGCCAAATCTGGACAGACCTCTGTTGGCTTTATGATCGGAGTTTAGGGTGGAGGCCTCACGAACATGGGCCAGTTTGTCCTGTGCCCGGGCAAGTCATGTTCATTTTTTGTCGTGATCAGCTGTTTTTGTTCCTCTTGAGTGTATTGACGTCTGTGCAGCGTCAGCATGTGCTGATGCTTGTATATAGCAGGCGTTGAAGTCCCCTTTTTCGACAAAGCTGCCTTGTGTTTGCGAATTCAACCATGCGTAAACACGACAGTCGAAGGCTTATTGGCATTTTGTAGGCCGTTTGCAAGTTTGCATCTCGATGCTCAGTGGTCAAAGACTCATCTCAAATGCCCGAAGGATGGCTCTCTGAAGTTGCTTTCGGTGGCAGAGGGCGGGAAGCCAAGAGCCTTGGGCTTTGGGCTTCAAGTGCTAGGGTTTGAAGGACTTAGGGTTTAGGTTTAGTGTCTAGGTTCCAGGGTTCAGGCCGTAATTAGGGTCTAGGGTCTAGGGTGTAGGGTTTAGGGTCAAGAGCAATAGGGCTTGAAGGCTTTCAGATTTTTCGGGCTTTAGGGGCTTGAAGGCTTTGGGCTTTAGGGTTTTTACAGGGCAGTACGAGTGAAACCCTCAGCCTGAAAGCTCTGAGTCGCGAAACAGAGTAATTCGCCCCAGAGTCCGCCGCTTCGATACATACTTGGAGGCGTTGTGTATTATTGCACTGCAGAAAGAAGGCGTTGGGTAGTGTCGGAAGTTATCAGTGAACATTACACAAACAGTTACGTTACTTATTTAAAGCGTCTTCTACAACAGCTCGCTCCGGTGCCCTGTGAGGACCCACCCACGAACCCTAGCCTGATTCCCAAATTCTCAACCTAAACGCTGACTTCCAATTTAGGGGTACCCGTTCGTCCAAGAAAGATCAGCCCTAAGCCAAATCCTGAACCCTGCTTGGGATAAAGGGTTGCCCAACGGTCCAAAACATGAACCAAAAGCCCTAAGCCCTTAAACCCCCCCAAAGCCCTACACCCCAAGCCCTAAACCCTAAACCCCGAATCAAGCCTGCGAGAGTCTGAAGATGGGAGGTCCCGCCTTGCGCGACCACACCGCCAAGCTACCCAAGGTTCTCTCGGCCTGTTTGTGACCTGGGAGGGCACGGGGTTCGGTTTAAGGGTTAGGGTGCTGGGTTCGAGGTTTTGGGCTAATGGTTTAGGGTTTAATTTGGGGTTTGATGTCTCCGGGCTGCTGCGGAGGAACGTATGGGTGCCTAGATGCCCTGAAGCTTCCGCGACCTCCACCCACTTCTAGCATCCAAAGTGCAAAGGAAAGCCACTAGAAGGACCTCTTTGTGGTGATCTGATCGAAGGAGGGCTTCTACGATCTGCTTTGAGGGACAGGGCTTCGTGTTTTCGGGTCTTGCGTTTCGGACGAAATCGGACATGCGCCTCCTCACACGCGTTGAAAAAGGCCTTAGAGAAGGTTGAAAAGGGATGGAGGGAGTGCGCCATACCATTGCGGGAGGGACTTAGAAACCGAACCGCAACATGTTCGACTGAACCTCAAACCCGCAAAACCCCAAAGACGAAACCTTTAGCCAAAGCCGCTGGACAGCTTTAAAGTCTAGACGCCCTGTGAACACTGCAAACCCTTATAAATTTGCTATGGAACCCTGTACTCGCAGAACTCGTAGACAACCCGCATCAAACCCTTGCAGAATTCCTCGAACCCTCCCAAAGCCGTACAGCCCTATATCGGCTACTGGGCTTCTCTCGGGTTTCGGGTTCAGCAGGCTTTAGGGTTTACATAGCTAGGGTGTAGTATCATTTAGTAGGGTTTGGCGTGGTTGAGGGTTGAGCCTCTCAGGATCTTGGTGCCGCCACTTGGGCCGCTCTTAGCGGCTCTCAGACTGTGCGGCTGGCGGTGCTCACACCACAGCAGCGAGGTCGGGTGCATGGCATATTTAGGGGTTTAGGATCTAGTAAGTTTAGGAATTGGGGGGCTGGTGATTCGCGAGTACAGCGTTTGCAGTCTTTCCTCCAGATCGCCGGTTCCTCTTTGACGCCGTTCAGGAAACTGAAGCTCCAGTTGTCGTTGAGGTGCGGTATCGCACTGCAGGTTCGGTTCCCCGGCCCTCCTGCGAACACTAAGCTGTAAGCCGGCTTGAGTGATCACTGCCTTAGGAGTGGACGTCTTCAGGTTCACCACTCTTGCTTCCTGGGAGTTCGTGCTTGGTTTTCAGCGTGTGCTTAGGTTGCTTTGCGGTCTGGGTGCTCATGTGAAGTCATGGGAGTAGAGTTTCGGCCAGTGCGGCAGCTTCTTCTCTGCTCAGTCGTCCGAAGGTTCACTTCGGGGTGGTTCTACATCTGGTGCTCCTCTTTCAAGCCGACAACATGCCTGCGGTAAGTGTTCGAAGCAGCGAATCCTTGCAAGCCTCGGAGTTTTATGCCTTGCAGCAGAGCCAGAAGCCTGCAATTCTTGCCCACCTGCCAGTAAACCCTACTTTCCCGGACTTCAGCAACACATCGGTAGATTGCCAGCATGAGCGACGAAGAGCAGCTGTCAGCAGCTTCACAAAGAAGAAGCCGTTGGCATGTTGCTTTGCTTGCAAACAGTGAGTACCATGATCAACGCAAGAACTTGCCGGGTGTGGTGGACGATGCAGCGAGACTGGAATCCTGCGAGTTCTACCAAGCAGCGAAATCCAAGCGACGATGGGACAACCTGACCTTCGAGGAAACGAGAGAGCGTTTTCAGCAGTGGTTTGAAGACTGGAAAGATGGTGATATGATAATGTTTTTCTTCTTTGGCCATGGGGCATACTCTGTGGAAAAGCGCACACAATGCATGCAGGCTGTCGATGGTTGGCTGGTGGATCTCATGAGCTTTAAGGACTACATCCAGAGTCTGAGAAACATCAGGTTTTGTGGCTTCTTTGCCTGCTGCCAAAATCAACCAAGCGACCCTGATTACGTGTGCAAGTTGTTTCCGCTGTCATCGCCGATTCCGAACATCAATTGTGACACACTGTTTCACTTTGCTTGCAGACCTGGGCAAGTTATGTACGACGCACCGGCGGCCCAGGGGAAGTGTGTGACTGAGTACACATCCTGCTTGATTAAAATCCTTTGCAACGGCAGGTGCGTGAGCGACATTCCATTATATCTCCAGGAAAAAGTCAGCGAGAAAACCTGCATGCAGCAGCAGCCTGAATGCATAAGCTCCTTCAGGGATTGTGCAATCTGGGACGGCGAGACACAGATTGCTTCCTTGAGTTCATTCTCGGCATGCGGGTCTGCAGGAAATGAATTCAATGCTTTGGTGCCAGACTTGGACTTACAAACTTTGGACACCTTCAATGCTTTGGTGCCAGACTTGGACTTACAAACTCCGGACACCTTCAATGCTTTAGTGCCAGATTCGGACTTAGAAACTCCGGAACCCTTCGACGGTCGTCTAAAGGACTGGAAATTGCAGAAGGCAATGCTGGAACGCGACTTGGAGATCAACTTTGGACTTAGAACCCTGGATACCTTCGACGATCGTCCGCCATACGCGCCGGCGCTATCCTCTTTTGTGTGTACAGTCATACATATAGCTCTAGCCCTCGAAGTGTTGCGGACGGTCGTCTAGAGGACTGGAAATTGCAGAAGGCATTGCTGGAACGCGACTTGGAGATCCATTAGCAGCACCACGGTTCGGAACACCCCCAAACAGGCATTCTTTGATCTAGGGACTGTCTACAGTCGTCTGGAGGACTACGAAAAGCAGAAAGCACTGCTGGAACGCTGTTTGAAGATCCAGGAGCAGCACGACGGTTCTGAACACCCCGAAGTGGCCAAGACACTCCTCAACCTTGGCAATGTCTGCGGCTGTCTAAAAGACTACGAAAATGGGAAGGCAATGCAGCCACCTCTCGAACCCTGAAGCTTAAGCGATTTGAAGTTCCATGCCGCTGTTGCACAGGCTTGCTGGTCGCCTTCGACCTGTCAGTGGGTGTGGCACCCAGCGACCTGCAGCAACGCCATGGGCCATGCCTTTTTGACTCCAACAGTACAATGATATAGTGGTCGGAAGAAGTAATCAGTAAGATTATCATCATATCAGTATCCCCTTACAATTCCTACGTTGACATAAGTATATGATATACGCCATCACACCACAAAACCCCCAGTTCAACTGTGGCCGTTTACGTTGACCCGCCGCGAAGCCCAAATCCAAAAGCCAACTCCCGAAAGTCTCAGGCCTGACCTTTACACGGCTGGTAGAAGAAATCAATAATTTAGGGGCCGTAGTAGCCAGGAAATCGTAGTATAGTTCTTCTAAGCAGCCTAAGGGAGTAATATTGGTTCTGCTTGGCGTAGGCCCAGAAAACAACGACTCCTCAACGTGGACTCTCTCGATGTCAATCGCGTCAAGGCTTTCCTTCGTCGAAGGCGGAACCCCTTACAACCCAGGAAGAACAGGGCCTACGACGCATGGTTGAAGGTCTAGATCTTTGAGCCTCCTCTTTGGGCTTCAGCTTGATTGAGATCTTGAAACCCAGCCCCAACCCTCCATCCCGCATATTAACCCTGATGCCCGCAACATAAGACTTCTCTCCAAGTTCCACAACCGTGAAGTGCCTTGGTGGTTGCACCCGCCCCAAGCACAATCTTGCCCGGAACTCCAAAAGTCCACACGCCGAATCCGGACGAGGTGATACCCGACACTCCTACACACGAAAGAGAATTCGTAAGCCCTAACCCCAACCCAGCAAAGCCACACCAGAGTCTCAGAGTGTTCGTTCATTGCTACCTGAGCCCTAAACAATCGGATTCTTATCCTCAGCATGACAGCCCCCCGAAGTAAACGGGAGCTCAAGAAACTCAAGCCTTGAAGCCCCAAAACCCGTGACCTTCGGTTTAGGGTTTAGGGTTTAGGGTTTAGGGTTCAAAGACAACGACAAACACCTGATGGAAGCTGCAGTCCCAGGTGGCGCCGCGGTGGATGTGCGCGAGGTGTTTCGCACGGCCCACCTCGCCGAGGTACCCCCGGTGCTCAGGCGCGAGGATTCCGGAAGAGGGCAGGGGTTCAGGGTTCAGGGCAATTGGGGTGTCGAGGTTTGTGAGTTTAGTGCTTCTGGGTGTCGGGGATTAGGTGGTTTACTAACAGGTTGAACGGTCGCAACAGTACATTAAATTTGGTAGATAGACAGTTGAATACATACTTGAAGATAGATGGTAGACAGATGGCTAGCTGGCTGGCTGGATGGCTGGATGGCTGGATGGATGGAGGCAGACAGGCGATGCATATACTTACTCTCTCTCTCTCTCACACACAAACCACTCTTGGTTTCGCTGTTTGTCTACTACTCTGCCTGGTGCCTCTGTTTATCTCGCTCTTTGCACAGGCCTGTCAAGATGTAGGCTTCGATTTGTTGGTTCAGGGTTCAGGATTTTAGTTGAGACTCAGGGTTGTGGGGCGCAGGGTCTAGGAGAGTACGTACAGGTTGGTGGCTCTGTGAATTGAAGCTGATCACAAGCATTGGCAACCTGAGATTGATTGAGCACATCTTTGTGATCTGATTTCAGTCGTTGCCGATTCGTGCAGTCCATGATGAACAAATTCCACGTTCTCTCATACTAATCTTTCTCTCTGGTTCTCGGTTAGAGGACAAGAATGGGCGACTTGGATGCCAACTGTGGAAACATTCACCTCCAAGCACGTCAAGGCATCCCTCAACCCAAAACCCTAGCCCTTCACCCTACTTGTGCCGTGTCTGGGCTTTGGGTTTGACTAGGGCTAGGGGCAAGCAACAGGAACACGCCTGCTGCGGAGCAGGATGAGGAGCGTTGCAGAAAACTCAATCGTTTCAATAAGAGTGCGTTTGAGAAGCCTCTAAGCGCTCGGGCAGAGGTTCGGAGTAATCGTGCTGATGAGGCTGGTTGCTTTTTTCGGCATTATTTCCCATTCGCACTGTTTGTAATAGCATTACCAGGTAGCTTTACTGATATTTTCTTCGCGACTGAACTTTCTGGAACTGCTGCCATTGAGTTGAGATGACAATTGTTTGTATATTGTTGTGATAAGCGGTGTTTGCAGCCCGGTGTCGATGTTGATGAAAGTACACAGAAGCAGAGGGTGCATGCCGAACACATGCTAGCCTGGAATGACCGAAGGAGGTTTGATTTCCGACAGGCTGACGAAGAACTGACACATGTGGCGATGCACGATTCCCTATGTATCCGAGTTGTTGTGGTTGCGATGGGGTGCTGAAGGTTGTGAGAGTTAAGACACTGAACCGCGTGGTTCGGTATCATCGAATCTAGCCAGACCAGGGTTTGGGGTCTGGGGTTTAGGGTACATTGCTTCCCTAACTTCAAGCAGTGGGCACTCCACAACCCAAGCTGTGTTGTTCGACACCCGACATCTGTCTTTGTGAACCTTGCTTGCGCACAGAAGCAACCCTCAAGGAAGCTCTCGCTGGCGTGTGACTGCTTGCGTCTGATATGGTTAGTAAATAGAGGGAGGGTACACTTTCGTGCATCGGCCTTGCCCGGTTTCACATACTGCGAAACAGTGCATGGGACCGGAAGGCAATCAGCTGCCGCCCTCAGCCTTCACGCACCGCTCAGCCCTAAACGCTACATCACGTCGAAGCCCCAAACACGAACCCCAAATCCCGAGGACGCAATCTTTGTGAGCCTGGTATAACTACCCAAACCTAGAACTTACAGCCCTGCGCAGAATTAGCTTTTTCTTGTCCCGATTCCTGGGTTCTCATTAGGTTTTAATTGTGAATCCTACTGGATCCTAGTGTTGCTCAGGTTTAGAACCGGGGATGTCGTAAGCAAGCTCCTGCATTAGACTGTGTGCTATAATATTTGCTACCATAGCAGGGCTCTTTAGTAAATAATCGGATTTCCCGATTATGGCAACTTTAAATTTAACTCCCCCTAAACCCTAAACCCTGAACCCTAAACCCTAACAAGAGCGCAGCAGATCACGCGGGCTTGCAGGAGGCGAGTGCCCAACTCAGCCCTTCGCTGGACTATCTGCGCCTGAGCCGCAGTCAGCGACTTCGAGGGCTCCAGGGATCTGGCTCAGGGGTTCAGGGCTTAGGGCTCAGGGGTTCAGGGCTTAGGGTTTAGGGGTTTAGGGCTTAGGGTTTAGGGTTTAGGGGTTTAGGGTTTAGGGTTTAGCGTTTACGGGTTCAGGGCTTAGGGTTTAGGGTTCAGTGCTTAGGGTTTAGGGTTTAGCGTTTAGGGTTTAGGGTTTAGCGTTTAGGGTTCAGGGCTTAGGGTTTAGGGTTTAGGGGTTTAGGGTTTAGGGTTTAGCGTTAAGGGTTCAGGGCTTAGGGTTTAGGGTTCAGGGCTTAGGGTTTAGTGTTGAGGGGTTTAGGGTTTAGGGCTTAGGGTTTAGGGTTCAGGGCTTAGGGTTTAGGGTTGAGGGGTTTAGGGTTTAGGGTTTAGGGTTTAGCGTTTAGGGTTCAGGGCTTAGGGTTTAGGGTTCAGGGCGTAGGGTTTAGGGGTTTAGGGTTTAGGGGTTAGGGTTCAGGGTTTAGGGTTTAGAGTTCAGGGAAGTGGATTTTCAAGGTCGACTCTTGGGGATTGGGGTTTCTCTGGAGGACTGTAGTGTATCCCGTGGCAGTAAATGCCCCTTGCCGCTCTCTCTCTCTCTCTCTCTCTGTCTTTCTCTGTCTCATCAAGCTTGAACACAAAGCCCAACTCAATGCAGATGCATGTCAAGCAACAGACTCCAGCCTTACGCCACTCGGCGATCTGACGTAAAGTGTACACTCAGGCCTTTGTCATGAAAGCCTGGACAGTGAAGCCCCAAAGCTCGGAAACTCTGAAGTCTTGGGGGAAGCCCCAGCTCCAAAATCCCAACTCTTCAAGCAAAGATCCCAACTTTCACAGGCGGCCCATCACGGACGCAGAGACCTAAGAGTGTTTGTGATTGTCCCAACTTGGCAGTTGTTGGGTAAAGTCACGGACACCCTTTTCCTGGTGTCTTCGTGTCTTCGGGACAAGAAGCCACTTGCGTAGAAGCTCACCTACTGGCTCTTGCCTGATCCTGCTCGTACCCCCTGGCCGGTTTTGTGTTCTGGGTTGAGGTTGTGAAACTTTGGGTGTAGAGTAGCTGCGGCAGCTGCGATTACGCCTAGGACCTAGGATTGTCGGATCACTTGCTTGATTCCGGTGGCTGGAATCGAGCAACTGGCGCGGGGCTCAGCGTGTAATAGGAGGTCTTACATAGTTGCTAGAATAGAGCTGGGGGGTATGTGTTGTTGATTGATATGTATAGGAAAGGTGAAGGGATATTGTTACCAGTTGTCAAAGGCCTCCAGCTTGCTATCTAGGGTTTGTGTGCAGTGTTGGAGGCTGCCCACACAAACTGGTAATCCTCAACCGTATACTGCGAATCTTTGCAGCTTCTTCTTTTGCTTGTGCGACAGACTAAATCCTTCAGTGTAGGGGTGTAGAGGTCTTTGCAATCACGGATAATCCGTATGTGGTAGTGTGACAAACCGCAACAGGCTACTCAATTATGAAGGCCCCTATGTCAAATCCAAGGAAGCCCTCTTCAGAACCCCGGGAACCCCAAGAGACCTCAACAAGCGCTAAGGGCCTACTTGCTGCACGAAGCACAGCCGATTAGTAGAGTAGGTAACCTTTAGCCTTTTTCGGGTAGTATAGTCCCTACATAATCGACAAGCCCCTCGCACTCTCCGAAGAATCGCGCGTCCCAGGTTTCGGCACCCCTCTCCAAGAGCAGCGTGGAGATGGCAGCAACGGCGAAGGCGGGAAGTTGAGGACCCCAGAAAGACCGGAGGGCTTCCGAGTGTAGGCTTTTTAGGGGGGTTTCAGGGTATACGGTTGAGGTGTGGCCAAATTTTTGTTTTTTTTGGTTTCCGGGGAAGCATGGCATAGCTCTTGGGCTCGGGTCAGGATTGACATTCTCAGCCACCTTCCCAATCCACATGTGACGGTCGCAAAGGTATGATCACAGCAGGTGGCCTTGCCCCTTTCCTCAACATCACAAAGCCTGAAGCCGTAGACTCTCAGGCAGGATTTATTTCAGGCCAAAACAGCATCGCCCCAATGATTCCCTCAAGCCCTAAACCTGAAGCCCTATAGGCCCTAAACCCAGAAAGCCGCGAAAGAGCTATCTGAACCCTGAAGCTCCGCGAGCCTTGTCAAAGTCCACCACCGAAAGCCCCGAAGCCTTGAAACTAAGAAGTCTAATGTCTCCGTCATCAACCCTAAACCCCCCAAGCACCAAAGCCCCCACTCTCAAAGCCCCAAGAAGTGTCCAAACTTTCAAGCCTAAGCGGCTAAACCTGCAGAAAGCCGAGAAGCGTAAACGAGGCAGAAGATGAGCAGGCCACTGCGGTCTGGATCTCAGTGGAGCCCTGAACAGCGAGGTATCCAATTTTCTTCTGATAGGGGTGCAGTTACAGGGGTTTAGGGTTTAAGGCTTAGGGCTTAAGGTTTGGGGTTTAGGGTTTAGGGTTTGGGTTCAGGGGTGTAATTAGGGTTGAGGTACCTGGGGTTTGGAGAGTACCCCTACCGCCCGGCAGGCGAGCTTCGGAGCAGAGAGAACCCTCAACCCTAATCCCCGAAATGTGAAATCCTGCTAGATTGCTTTGGAGATCAGATCTCGTGATCTAAGCGGCAGGATTCCTCAACAAAGAACTCGTACCGGGTAAGTCCTGAAGCCTAAACCAGAAATCCCAAGCCCGAAACCGTTTCGCTTAAACCCCAAACCCTGGGCTCTAAACACTCTCCAACCACTCGGGCCTCCTAAGTTTGTCCTTCCTCGGCTATAAAGGCCTCAAGTCTAGAAGCACCGAATCGATCCTACTCATTGGATCTTCCACTGTAGCCAACCCTAAACCCGAAACCCTGCACCCTCTCCACCGACGACGGCGCCGACTTCGGGTGTCGAAGCAGAGACGCAGACGTCTGCCCGGCTCGTTCTAGAGTTGGTGTTTAAACTTCAGCTTCGGGGTATCGGGGCGTGGGCCTTTAAGGTTCAGGGTTTAGAGCTCGGCGGTCTGGATATTCAGGAGTTGGAGGTTCAGCGTTCAAGCTCTTCGTGACCCTAAACCCTGAACCCTACACCCTACGACTGACCAAAAGCCGCGAATAAATTCTATTCAGCCAGACTCGAGTCCCAGTCGGAAAGCGGAAGCCTGAACCCTCCAACCACAAGAGGTTGTTGCGCCCCTTGAGGGCTATTATAGGGGTCTTAAAGACCTATGTAGAATATCTGATAAGAGATATAAGTTCGTTATATAGTTTCAACAACTTGCCGTACACTTCCCCAGGGCCTATAAACCTCGACAGAAACCCAGCAGCATCTACAGAGTCCTTTACTAGACCCTCTTGGATCACCGAGATATGGCAATATCTTGGGTCACGAGGACTTGGCTCATGCCACCGAACTTGCAACCCAGCCTTGAAGTCCTTTCCGGGTTAGGGCTCAGGGTCTTTGGGGCTTGGTCCGTGCTCTACTGAGATTAAAGTTGTGTTTTTTGGGCGGTGGGTGCGGCGTTTGAGTCGGCTTATCTTGGCCCGACTCAAAGTATGGCCACTGTTCGTCGCGCAGCTGTGTCAGCACTCTGACGTGAGCGAGTTGCGAAGAAGGTGCTGACGATCCAGCAATGGAGCTGAGCCCGCAAACCCGTACAGCATGCTCTGATATCCAGGTCCCAAGCCCTCAGCCTAAATCATGCAGCTTCATCGACATGTCATGAGGTCCTCGATTTCGTGGGCGAGGTTCTACTCAGCCCTCGGCCGACCATCCCAAACCCCCATCATCCTCAAACCGGTAAGGAGCCCCTATGGGACTTGTCCGCCATGTTGGGTCGGAGGCGGCCCCACGGTCTTGTGTGTCGCAGTGGAGTGTTCCTCTTCCTGCTCTGGCTCTGCTCTCTGGCGTGGAGAGATACCAGGGCAGCCAGGGCATATGTTCGTGGCGTCCATGCGAGGATTCGCTGGGGCCACTTGCACCTGCAAGCTGCACCGCGGCTGTTATTAAGGATGTTGGTGTAGTCTTTCGGTACTATTGAATCAATCTGAAAAATTTCCTTAAAACTAGCGAGGCACGACATCCCGGACGATCTACTATAGCTGCTATGCGGTAAAAGCAAAGCCCTGCAACCCAGGCATCCCAGCTGCTCGATGACGCTGACGCTGCTTGCAACTTGCTCTCCGAGAGACTGGATACGTTCTCAGAGCACCTGAACAGCAGCTCTGGATCCTGGGAGCAGGTGCGCACCCCCAGTTTTCATGGTGAGGGGTCTGAGCACTGACCTGCTAATATGAGGACATGTGATCATGGTAGTATAAATCCCATCTAAACCCCATGACCTTAAGCTCTCAAACCTCAAACCTACGAACCCCCGGCATGCCAACCTCCTCAACCCTACAGCCCTAGGCAATCTGAGCCGGTGTCTCTCGGATTTGGTTTCAGTCGGTTGACGAACCGGCAGGCCCCGGATCCTCTGGGACTCCTACTTGTTCTATATTACTATATTAAGCAGGCATCTTTCCTAGTAGAGGATGTATGGCACATCAGACGTATCATGTACATGTATATTGGGAACGAGAATGTGCTGTTGAACAGTATCCCCGCCACAATGCTAGGGTTTGCGCTTCGGGTTCGCTTAGACCAGAGCATCGAAACCCAACAGCAGGTCACAAATCGGGGATCAGCCGTACACTGCACACCCAATGGAATTGAAATGGGAGCGGACTCCGTCATTCAAACCTGTCCAAAATCCATGCGTGTTTTCAGGATCTATTGCAACCTTCTACCAACAAGGGGAAAGCGTAAACCGTTATGTGAGATCATGCATACTTACAGCATGGAGGCGGCAGACGGCGTGGTCGCTGGCACGGCGGATGATGCTAGCTTTCGCCATGTGCTGGAGGAGCCGGCTTGCCGATGCTTTCTGCCCGACAGTGCGTTTAGGGTTTAGGGGTTTGGGGTTTAAGGTTTAGGGTTCGTGGGTTGGGGCCTTAAGCCCTAAACCCGACATCCTAAACTCTCAACCTTTGGTGCCCTAAACCATTTAGTGCTTTTGTAACTTTTGTAAAGGACTTGAGCCAAGAGCTGACCTGCAGCAGAAACCATCTGACGAAGGCCGTGGCAGCTCGGCGAGAGAAGCTTCCCTTCCGGGGTTCCATGTCAGAGTTCCTTTAAGGGTTCCATTTTAGGGTTCCTTTTAGAGTTCCCTCAAGGGTTACTATGAGGGTTCTGCGTTACCTCACCGGTGAGTTGTGTAGTATGGGGCTCAGGGTCGTGGGGATAGGGTCTAGGGATGTAGGGATCGTAATCTGGTTTAGGGCACCCGGTTCTGGGTTTTCAGGTTTTGGGGTTAACCGTGTTACTGCTACCATTCATCGACAAAGCTTGCTGCAGAGGCCATCGAAGTCCACAGCACTTCGGCATGTTCCTCCAGGTCTTATTTTGCAAATCAAACTCCGAAGCAGCCTCAATCTCTAATGAACGCCTTGATCAAGCTACTCGACTGCCCCAAAGACCGAGTGCAATCCTGAGCTAAACTTCCTGAGCCTTAGTTTAATCACCTAAACCTGAAGCTCCAAACCCGCCACGTGTCAAAACCGTACGTTAACAACCCTGGAAGCTTGATCTTTTAAGACAACCCGCGTGATGCTTTGTAAACCACACCAAAAAACAACCTCGTGAGATCTCGTGAGAACCCCAAGCACATGTAAACACCGTAAGAGTCTCATTCAATGAGAGCCCTAAACCCTAAACCTGAGACGCAGTTCCCAGGAACAGGCCGAGGAGGTCCTGGGTCGTCTGGCTGAGGCGAGGATTTCGAAGAGAGACGGTTTAAGTGGCTGTGAATGTCTTGATTAGTCTGTTGATCTGGTGTTGTTGCGTTGTTGTGTTGGGTTCTCCGTCATATTCGTTTTGGTGTCGATACCCACTGAAGCTTAAACTACAAACCTGGAACCTCCGTCAAAATTGTCGTGGGTGCTGTTTTGGTGTGGGTGCTGCCGGGCAACGACAAGCAAGTGAGTGAGTTAACTCGCGCCCGCCGCGCAGAAAAAAAGCGCGCCAGGCGCTCACAGCAACAAAGCAATAAGAGAGTTTATGGTCTAGAAATCTAGGGTTGAAGCCCTGTCGCCAACACGCCGACCTTAGCTTAGATGCTGAGCCCTACACCCAGCTTCCGACAGGTGCAAAACGAGCTCGATGCTCTGAAAAGGAAGATGAGAGGGACACCGGCACCTCAAATGAAGCAGCGAGATGGGGGCAAGCGGAGATGTCGGTTTTGGGTTTAGTCTTACGGTTTGGAGATTAGGCTTGAGGGTTTAGGTTAGGGTGTAGAGTCGCAGGGTTTGGAGTCTAGGGGTTCCGGTTTTAAAGGATAGGGATTTGGGATTTTCGTAAGAGCTCGCAGTATGGCTGTTATGTTATGAGCATCATTTAGCATCTTCAGGTTCAGTGCCGAAGGACTTGTCGCGATATGAGAGTTTCCGAAAATAGGGGACCCCAATATAAGTCCCCGAAATAGTAGGATCCCTACTATAAGGAGCCCCCAGAATAAGGTACCCCGAATTTTCGGAAACTCCCATATGGTGTTTGGGCTTCGAGTTGCGTGACCCCTTCAGGAGACTTCCACCCCACAACTTCTAGACCGAAGATCCTAGTTCGTACCCCAAAACCCTGAACTCGAGGCTTTTCAAAGCCCCCTGAACTCGTCTTCCCTCTACCCATATCCACAATCCCCAATCCCTATTCACAAGACCTAGACAAGGCCGACTATGCGGAGGCGCGGGTAGAAGACAAGAACCTCTGCGTGGAGATCGACGAGAGGCAGGGTTGGAACAGGTTTCCGGACTTAGGGGTTCTGCCGGTACAAGGTTCCTGAATAGGGCCTAATATAATCCTATAGAATCCTTATGGTCACTATTACAGGGTGGGGGCATAAAGGCTCCTATAAGGACCCTATGTGGCTTCTGTACCGGGGAAGGTCAGGGAAGTGTAGTGAAGGTTTCGGGTCGAGAGGTTTAGGGTTTAAGGCTTCAGGGTGTAAGCGGTTTGGTGTTTAGGGTTTAGGCCATGTTTTTGGTAGGTCGGCAGGGGTTCCTTATGAGCGGAGAAGCTGAGGTCTTGGGATTGCTCCGGTTTTGGTCGCTTTCGATCCCCCGGTATGTACATCTAACCCCTCTTATGGCCATCTATGAAGTGCTGAGCAGGGCTTGAGATCCAATCGCTGAGAGATCAAGGGTAAGGGTCCAGGTTGTTGTGGACCAGGTGCAATATTGGGATCGAGGATCTGCATACTTAGTATTCGATCTGGGTTTCTTGTGTGCAACTTAGTTGCCACTGCGCTAGGAAGATGCAGCTAATGCAGGTCGTTTCGGGCTGCAGCAGTGGGTGGAATTGCTAAGGCTTGAGGCCCCAAAGGACCCACCTTCAACCCCAAAACCGTCTTTACAAGTATTGCGCAGACCCTAGCCGGGCCTAAAGAGCTTGCGTGGCGTGCAGGTCATCGAACTACACGCAAAGAACACAGAACCTCGCCGACACGGTGACATCCTTTATGAAGGCCGATTCGGAAGTCTAGTGTGGAGTTCAGGAGTTTGGGCCAACTTTTACATTCGGGCCCGTTTGGTGTCCAAGACAGCAAAGCACAAATTCCATGCCCTAAACTCCCTTTGCATCCCGGTGCCCTAATCCCTAAGTGGTCATCATGCTTTGGCATCGTTTTGCCTGTCTATTGTCTTCGGGATGCTTTAGGTTTAGGATAGCTTGGGACTCAGGCTTGTGGATCTAAGGATTCAGGAGTTTGGCTTTCGGGATGTGGGCTAAGGATGTAGTTTCTTTGAGTTAAGGTGCAGGGTACAAGCTGTGGATGAAGGGTCTCTGGCTGTAAGGATGGTTCTTGCCAGCACAACCCTCACCAAAAGATCCTACAAAAAGCCAAAGGCCGAACCCACGGCTTTCTCTCCCTTTGCCGCAGAGGCGCTCACGGGGCAGCGCGAGTCCATGAACTCGAAGCTGGGCCTCGTTGGAACTCTTTGGCTGCTTTGTAACAAATGTTCGTGTTATATGTAACACCGGCGTGTTTCCTAAACCCCAAACCCTAAACCCTAAAACCCTCAGGTAATCTGCCCGCCCAAAGGGGCTTTTAGGACGCTTCGTGCAGACTGAAAAAGGGCCCTTAAAAAAAAACCCTAAAACCCTAGCTTCTTAATAACTATTCATTGGAAGCCCCTGTGTAGCCGAAAGCATGGGCTCGGCGACGAAGGAAGCTCGAAGAGCTGGCAGAGCACATTGACGCCCTCTCGAAGAGCGACGACCAGTGATCGACAGGATTCTGGTAGGTGTGGTCATTTTAGAGCGAATCCTTGTCCTAATCCCAGGCCCACATTGGTGAACTCCAGAACTACAAAGATCCGTGTCCCCGCAAGCCGAAAGCCTTGTACAGGAAATGAGTCAGAGGCCTCCCCGATAGAGCATCCCTGCTCGCGAGTGCCCGTTGCCCGAAGTGGCGAAGGCACAGAAGATTTGCCTGCGAGCCAGGCGACTGCGCAGAGAAACAAAGACACAGTGCCACCTCTGCAAGCGCATAGTCGTGTATGCAGAGCATTGCTATCTGTACTTGTAGCTATTAATACTCATGTGTGTGTGTGTGTGCCAGAGTCGCTGAAATTAAGGTTACTTTTCTTGGGGATTCTCAACTTGAGCATCGCACTGTCTAGGATCTTTCTTGGGGTGCCTTGTTTTCTGAGACCACCCGTGTTGAGGGCCTTGATGAGTCTGTCCTCGGCGGCTGGACTGTCGGCGTTGCTTGATCTTTGGTCACTCAGCTGAGCCCACGATCAGTCTCCTCAAACAAAACCTCGCATCCTTAAATTCCGAAGACACCCTCAAACCCCAAACCCTAAAGCCAAACCCTGGTGTGAAAGTGTAGGGGGGAGTTTAGGATGTGAGATGTCTTACCTTTGGTTAGTAATGGAAGAATGGTAGTAATAGTCGTTATAATTGTACCCCATTCCTCCATTCCCTACTAACCAAAGGTAAGTTACAGGATTATTAGGCCCCTATATTATAGTATCCTTATAGATCCCTAAGGCCCCCTTTTCATTCCCTACTAACCAAAGGTAAGGTGTGGGGTTAGCCATCGCTTGCTCTTGCATGCCAGGTGGGCAGGCGATCAGAGATCTGGTCTTCGCCGATCCGGCGGAGCCCAACACCCTTCACCTATAACCATATTCTGTTGTCCTGGTTCCGGTAATGATACAACAGCCATACAACTTAAGCGGTATATTCATACATATGCACATATAAAAATGTATCGATATACATATGTGTGGCTGAATCCGTCTTTTGGGGCCAGGTGAAGTTAGCAACCGCGAAGAGATGCACCAATCCCTAGAAGCCCTAGTTGGCCCTAGTTTTTAATCCCAAGAGCCCCCAAACCCTCCTCTCATATTCTGGTCTGAATACTTAGTACTGGTCTAATCCTTCTTGCGCCCTTCCCGAAACCCAGGACTCTCAGCTTTCAGCCGTAAATTGAGAATCCTGAACCCAAGACGCGTAAATCCTACATCCGGAAAAGGGCATTGCATTAAAAAAATAACCCTGAACCCAAAACCCTGAACCCGGAAGGCAAGAGGCCCGAAGCCTTCGTTTGCCCAAGGTCTGTGCTGAGTTCGTCGAGGTGGACCCCGAGGACGAGGGGCCCACTCTGATCGTGCTGGTCAGGGGGAGGCACGTCTGAGTTTCAACCAAGAGGGATGTATCAAAATTAGGATTCTATATGAGCTTATGAAGCATAATTAAGACAAAAGGGAACTTTGTGAGCAGAATAGGCTTCAAAGGAGATTAAGATTCAAGCTTCAAGAGCACAGACCCTGAACAGAAGGTCTGCCAACAAAAGCTACAATATCCCTGCAAGTGGGTGGAACAAGTACGGCAACTGGGCTTGGAAGAAGGTTTAGCTGCAGTACCTTACTTATGTCCCTACTTACTCCGGGTCCCACGATTCTTCAAATAGCCCAGGAGCAGAGGGAGGCTTTCTCGGAGTCGGAGTTGTAGTTCAAGGCAACAGTAAGATGGTAGGTACCCGTGAGTAGTACGACATACCCTAAACCCTAAGCCCTTCAAGTGCATCTTGACTTATGGGCCCTGAGCTTGCATCCACAACTTGAAAATTTGGGATGTTGAGCTGCGGGGCCGGGGAAAGCGGTCCTTTACTTGCCCAAGTCTGCAGTCCTGTGGACACTGGAGCTGCATATTCGGGTTTAGGGTTCAGGGTTAGTGCCGTCATGCTAAGAAGATCTTTATGTGAGTTTCCGAATATTAGGGGTACTTAATTTTGGGGTCCTTACAATAAGGATCCTATCATCTTGGGTACTAAAGTAGGGTCCCCTATTTTCGGAAACTCGCTTATCAAGGTCCCGTCTTTTCTGAGCTCCCCAGTGGTTATCAGGCCTGTGCTGATCTACCGTGCCTTCAATAGCCAAGCAGAGGCGCCAACTTTCCAGGGTCTTGCGCATTGGGATAGGGATTCAGGGTTTAGGGTTTAGGGTTTAGGGGTTCAGGGTTTAGGAAGTTAGGGCATCTGCCAGCAGTGTGCAGGTGTTTCTGGCTCGTGAAGCGCACTGTAGGGTGTTTGAGGTTTCGCAGTGTCGGGGACCCTAAACCCTAAACCCCTAAACCTTAACAAACAAATAGCCTCTGAGGAGGATTTCTCGGGGCACCCTTTCCTGGTCACCCTTTCCTAGTCGTCTCGTAGTCTCGGCGCAACAAACTGCTCTGTATCTCGAACTCGAACCAAACTCTACGTTTCTTGCTTTACCTCCAATGCATGATGTATAATGTATATCCCTAAGCGCCCAAACCCTACGTCCTAAACGGACAGCACTCACCGGTCACGAAATTCAAACACGAGGTCCTAAACTTTGTCGGCCCTGAGGCTCCAAAGTCAGAGACTCTTAAGAATCCAGACTGGAAGTGGTAAGTCTTTGAGGAGGCAAACACAAGAAGCCACAAAAGAAGTTCAAGAGCCTGAATGAGGGCTTCAGGGTTCATGGATTCAGGGTTTAAGTTTTCCATGATCCCCAACCCTGCCCCTGGAACATGTCATGATCAGCAATCACATCCCCTCATAGCCTTCATGTAGTCCTAGTAGATCACACCCAGACTCTTTTTGGTGACCGCTCATACAACCCTGAGCCACCTTCTTTTCAAGCTCGGGTTGGCGACGATTCTTTCCATGAAGAGGTAGATGGGGGCACCTCGAGCCCATTTCCGCCCCGAGCTGAGCAGGGCAATGCGATGAAGCCTAGAAGCCATCATAACACTGTTTAGGGTCTATAGGTTTCAGGGGCACATAAAGTTAAACTCCGCAAACTATGTCAAGGTCTTCTGGTTGGCCTCAAAATTTGCTGTATAAGGGTGTGCAAGTTTGTCCCTGGATTTGGCTAGAGAGAGGCTTGAGTAATTCCCGATGTGTTTAGTGTTACGTATTGCAAGCATACTACACTGTACCCCACACCCTGTTCTAATTAAGCATGCCCCTATACTAGCTACGTAGTCACTACAAACCAGGTTTGCTTAGTATCGTACCCGAGCCGTAAGACGTGTCATCCAAGCAAAGGTATTGCAACGCAGCCCGTGCTCATTTGTATCTTAAGAAACGGTCGTGATCCTGCAGCACCGAAAGGAACACAGAATTGAGTACTCGTGCTCGAGACCTAAACTCGGGACGAGGTTCAGCTTCCGCTTGATTGAGCACGACTCGCTGGGCCTGATCCTAAGCACCCCGATAAACAGGATGATAGTTGAAAAGCTCGGTAAGGGTTTACAGTGAACTCTGAAAGTTAGTTGGGGCATGGATTTAAGATCATTCGTGCTGAGAAAGAAGCTCTACTCGAAGGGCGCCAGGACCAGGATCACCATGTTCCAATTTTCTGAGCTCTCCATTAGGTCTTCAGGCTGTGTGGTAAGAGTTCAGACGGTAGTGTGGTGGGGGTGTTGAGGGGGAGCCGACCACGAAAAACCCGAACCTAAACCACCCAAGCCCTGCACAGCAACGCCTAAATCCAGCCCCTAAGCCCCCAAAGCCTGAATGCACGGACTAGGTTCTTGTGGAGGAGCTTACTTTAAGCTACCGTGGTAAGTCGAGCGCCTGTTGTACTACGCATTCCTTTTCAAACTAGCACCCTAGAATATGCAAGACCTGTGTAAAACCATGTCCAGGCCTGTAGAACCCTGTTGAACCTTCTAGGAACCCTTGTTCAACACTGTAGAACCCTAATTATCTAGAAGCGCGAGTCAAACCCTTCCCGAAAGCAGAGGAATCCAAAACCCTTAGCCTTAAACCCCAACCCAAAGGAACCCCATAGGCGAGAACATCATGATGAAACCCAGCAGCCGACAACAGTCCTTACAGACCCCCTCTTCGCTCTTATAGAACCCTATAGTGTTCAAAAAAACGCTAGAAACCCTAAACCCTACAGACAAGGTTTGGTCCAGTCCCCGAAGGAGGTGGCTCAGCCACGGCCTCAGCTCGGCTCATTCACTCCCTGGGTCGGAGGCTTAGGGTTCGGGATCTGGGCCAAAGCCCCAAACCCTAAAACCTAAACCCAAAACCCCTAATAAACCACAACAAACCCTACGACTACCCTAAATAGTAGGATCCATTTCAGTTTGGGGTTTCATGGGTTAGGGTGTAGGTTTGAGGGTTTGGGGCTTTGTGCCCAGGAGACCTAAACGTCACACCCATCCCTGATGCACCCGAGGCCATACCGCCCGACGACCACGCTCGAGGACACAACAGGCCGTTGAAGAAGTATAGATATGGAGCTAGGGTCGTGAGCCCTTCATCCCATATCCGAAATCCCATTCTTTCCTAAACCCCTTAAAACCCTAAACCCTGCACCCAGAAGTGCTCCACACTCACAGGCCGGCCAGCTGGGGTGATTGTTGCCCCGCCACAGCCAGGCACGTCGGCAAGATTCGGGGCTAAAAGTGGAACTCACGGGTTTGGGGTTTTGGCGGTCTTGGGGTTTAGGGTTTAGCGGTTTAGGGCTTAGGGGCCAGGGTCCATGAGTTTTGTGCTTCGAGCGCTGGAACTCAAACATTCAACCGGAAGCCCTGAACTCAAGTTCCGTCCCAAATTATCCCTTAGTTTCCTGTCCTTGCTGTTTTTGTTCGCCTCCATCTTCACCGACGGCAGTCCTTGCCTGAACCTTCAAGCGCTGAGTCTGGTGGATCTATGGTAGAAGCCAGTTGGAACATCAATATCCCCATCCCCTTAAGGTAAAGTAGAGGGGATCCCAGCACCAATCCTCCTAAACCCATGTTCCAACTTTCTGCAGTCCGGCAGGGATGTCTCAAACTGAGCGGGCCCTTTGTGGATGTCGTGGGGGTCAAAGGTCCACTCAGGTGTGGATCATGGGGGGCGTTTCAAACCCTAAACCCTAAACCCTAAACCCTAATCCTAAACCCTAAATCCTAAATCCTAAACCCTAAACCCTAAACCCTAAACCCTAAACCCTAAACCCTAAACCCTAAACCCTAAACCCTAAACCCTAAAAAGGTCTCTTTTGGTTTTTTCCGGTCAAAGACTCGGAGCCCCAAACTGGGCCCGGAAACCCCGAAGCCCCATCATCTGAGCGCGAATCGACATTTTCGAGGCTGGGCCCGGCTCTCCAAAGAGAGCCGAAAGGGCCGTTTAAAGTTTAGGGCTTAGGGTTTGGGGTTTAGGGTTTAGGGTTTAGGGTCTAGGGTTTTGGGGTTCAGGGTTCCTAAACTTCCATAAACTTCCTGAACTTTTGCCCCTGTCCCGCAGCCTTAGGCTGAGGGATTTGCTCCCTTTCATCCCGCCTCCTCTCGCTCGACCTGGCCCTCTTAGGCATCCCGTCTCTCTGGTTGGCAGCAAGCCGAAATCGGTCCCGGTAGCCCAGTGACAGGCTTTTTTCGGGCGCTTCTAAACCTGGATACTAGGCTTCTAGCTTGGTAGAGTAGGTTTTCAACAGGTTTGTCATTGCAGGGTGATCAAGGTTCCCCGGGCTTGCCCCTAAACCTCGAAGCCCAGGGGGCTACACGTACGCAAGACAGGAGCTCCAAAAACGCCTAGGAGCTTGGCTTGGGAGCCTTTCTGCGCTGAGTTGGCTTTACGGTGTTGCCCGGCTTTAGAACTTCAGGAGTGCAGGGGATCAGTGGGGAATTGAATTCGATTCTAAATGTGAAGGGGCTCGTCCTTTGCAATGGGAACCATGCGTGATTGCCTGGACTTTCATTCCCAAACAATGAGCTGCACAGGGAAAACGAAAACAGAACATAGAACCCCACAAGCACGTAGGACCCGTCTAAGTACAGTACCGCATTTCAAGACCCCCCCCCAAGCAACAACACTACGTGTTTTTTAAGACCCCATACGACAATGTACACCGCACAGGCCTCCAATGTCGCGAACCTTGCAAAACTCTTGCAGCAAAGACACCTACCTTTAAGAAGCCCCCGTTACATCTAGCAAACCTTCGCCCCAATAAAACCCTGCAAGCCTCTGTAGTAGCAGCTTCTTCTCTGTAAAAGCAGTCTCGAAGAGCTCGAGCGCCATGGTCTTCCGCTCCCTGGTGCTCATCGGCGCGGCGGCCCTTCTCAAGGCAGGATTCTTCAGCTGAGCTTTGAGGATTTTTTGAAAATATAGTAGCATAGCACTTACAGATCCCTTTTCAGAAGGAGCCCTATTCCAATCAACCCTAAACCGTAGTAATAGGGGCCTCAATAATTAGAACAGGGTTTTGGGATCCATTACGCTATAATCATGATAAAGAACCCCCGAAATGGTATAGGTAATTACTAACTAAGGCCCTAATATTGGTTACCTATACTATTGTGGGGGTTCCTTATTCTAACTATAGTATCATGGGCCCCAAAACCCTATTTTAATTGTTAAGGCCCCTATATTAGCAGCTTTGTGGAGGTCAGCTGCGGCTCCGATGATCTGGTTTGGCTGGCGCCCTTCATCGCCAGAGACGCTGGGCAGGGTTTGGGATTTAGGGTTTAAGGGGTTTAGGGTTTAGGGTTTGAGATTTAGGGTTTAAGGTTTAGGGTTAGGATACCACAGTCCGAAAACGAAGGCAGGATGTACGAGTCGAATTCCGCAGCATCGAATGTGTATGTATGTTAGTATGTATGTGTGTGTATATATATATATATACATATATATATATATATGTATATGTATATGTTTGTACTTTATTTTCACACATTTGTTCATGCATGTGTTTAATTGGACTTGTATTTGTGTGTTCATGAAATCTTTACTTAAATAGATATAGATAGTCGCACATCCATGGTATGGCAAATGAAGTATTTGAGCGCTAATCATTGCTGGAACGCAGACCGGTCCAGGTTTCCGTCCACCTGTTGTGTTCAACCCTTTGTATAGTCCCAAAAGTTCAAAGCTCAGGGCTTAGGGCTCAATTAGGGTTGCATGTTTTCGAGTTTAGGGTGTAGGGCGTCTGTTGGAAGGCATCCATCAGCCCTAGATCTGACTGAGATCGACAGCCTTGACCCTGGCAGAAGCCTTACAAGCACGAAGCCCATCCGTCTTTCTGCCTTTCCGCTTCTGCACCTGCTGGATGTCCATCTGTCCATCTATCTGGCTAGCTGGCTACCTGCCTACCTAGCTGCCGACCTAGCTACCTACCTCGATGCCTAGCTCTAGCGAGTTATCTACCTAACTTTTCCGTCCTTTCAGATGTTCTTTATCTCAAGGTTTGAGGCTCCATATTGCGTTTCACTGTCGTCTGGTAGAACCCCAGACCAAGACCTTAAACCCAACGTTGTGCACATCACAACCTTGACCAGCCATGAGACCAGACTAAGAAGCTTCAGCATATGAGCATGATAAGAGCCAATTACGAGAGCAGAACAAGGAGATAACATGTAGTCATTGAGGGTACCTTATATTGGTGTCCTCATTCTAAGGATCCTGCGATTATATAGTCTACTATATTCGAATCTGTACCTTGTGTTGGGATCCTTATAAGAAGGATCCTACTATTTAGGGTACTATATTCGAACCTCTTCCTACTATATTCGAATCTCTTCCTAGTATTTTGGGTACTATATTCGAACCCCTTGCTACTATTTAGGGTGCAATATCCGAATCTCTTCCTTGTATTTAGGGTACTATATTCGAACCTCTCCGTCTCTGCGCAAGTGCTGCCTCAGGAGAAAACCCGGCTGAGAAAAGCCTGGGCCTCCTGGCCTTCTGTGAATTGAGAGTCTCGGACCTAGGGGTTGATATGTAGGGTTTAGGGCTTTGGGTTTAGGGTTTCGGGTTGAGGGGTTTAGGGGTTTAGGGTTAGGGTTTCGGGGCTTTCGGGATTTAGGGTTTGGGGTTTAGGGTGTTTAGGTTTAGGGGGAGTCCCGGCTGTCGCGAGTGCAGCCCGGCGCGAGTCAGCTGTCTTGGCGTGACGTTGCAAGCCAGTTGCAAACGGGCTCAGGGTTGGTTTGATGTGGGGTTTGGGGCTTGATCGAAGGATCGCGCTTTGTTGAGATTGCAGTGACTGCGGTGCGGTTTGGAGGGTGGATTTAAGGCTAAATTCTCGACTCGAAGCCTAAAGCCCTAAGCCCGTGTGGAGTCTTTATTAGAACCCTTTCTCGGATCCCTAAACACTCTGAGATCTCGAAGGTTGCCTTCCTTTACACTCTGAGTGTTGCCTTCCTCGTGTCCATCGCTGCAGCAGCCGGCCTCATCACGAACTCAATGAAAGGCGCCGGGCCTTTTGGATGTAGGCTGTTGGGAGGCGGCATGCAGGGTTCAACAGATCAGAGAGGCTGCCTTCTGAGCTCTAAACCCCAAGGCCTTAGAGTCTTAGAGTGTAGAGGTATCATAGAGGCATGAAAGCTTGCTAAGCACATCCGTTATAGTCGCTATGTAGCTGTACTCTTTAGCTCATGGGCTTCAAAGCTGCTGGTTGTGGCTTACGGGGCGTCCGACGGAAGATCCACGAAGATCACAAGGCTGGGATGTCACCAGCCCGTGCAAAGTAGCTGATTAGCTGGTTCTTTGTAGCATCTTCAAGGCCGTAAACCCTAACCTCTATCAAACCCTTGTATTTCTAAAGCCCGATTCCTCACGTGCTTAAAGCTCTCAAACCCTGGACGGCTATGTTGGTTCTACTGACGCGTGTTGGTTCTACTGATGTGAACAAGCTTACTGGCGTGCTTGCCAGTCTTGCAGCAACAGCGCCAACACCAACAACCCACAATCGAACATACAAAGCTGCTAAACGCAGCCACGGTCTAGAACAGCCGGTTGAGTGTAAAGGGTCGTGCAAGCCTTGCGTTCTTCCGAACGTGCCTTCCCACCCATGATGACATCATAGCCAATGTAACGTTGCAAAGACTAGCCTCTAAATTGCAGCCCGAAATCAGCCAAGGCCCTGAGCCCTCAGCCCTGAAACCTGAACTCTTCCACTCAACCTGATAGGAGAGAAAGCCGACCTCCTGCCGCTTGGAACTGAAACAAGAAGGGGAATGTGGTTGTAAATACACCCAGAAAGCTGCCCCAATTCTCCCCAATGGACGGAAGGTTTAGTAGTTTAGTACATTCGGGGTCTAAGGTTTGTCGCGAAAGGGTCCTGTGGCTCAACCCGACGAGACAGAGCAGCATCCGAACAGAAGACGATGATAGCCCTGAGCCCTACCCTTCCTATGCATCACAGTGCATGCACCTGATCGGCCCGAGGCACCTCAAGGCTTCGAGAGCTTAGTTTGAAGGGTTTCGCGCTTGAGCTCTTTAAGGGCTCGCGGTCTAGGGCTTGGGGGGGAACTCCGCTAATCCTTAAAACCCTTCACTCTAAGCTCTACAACCTGAACCCCGAACTTAATATGGAGGCTTTGAGAATTGCCTATGCTGTTTTGGGGTTTTCCTTATTATAACTATTGTATAGTATGACCCCCAAACCCTATTCTGATTCTAAAGGCTTGACCTTACCTGCCCCAGAAAGAGCTCAGGAAGTGGTGGCTGAAGTTTATCGCAGGCACCCTGCTGATTGTCTACTCGCCTCTCGCCAGTTATCTGTTTTTGCGTTTCGGGTTTAGGTGTTGGAGTTTTGGTTTGAGGGTTGAGGTTTCAGGGTTTAGGGCCGTTCAGGGTTTTGGTTTCAGGGTTTATGGTTCTGGGTCTCAGGAATTTGGGTTTGAAGGGTCAGCCAAGGAGACAAGGAGAGTGGATTTGGGGTTCGGGGCTTAGCCGTGCAAATCCGACCGCGGCTTTTCTTGAAGACTAAGGGCCCATTTTTGGTTTGCTTTCTATGTTTCGGTGTCGCAATGTTTGCCTGCTCTCTCTCTCTCTCTCTGTCTCTTTCTCTCGCTCGCTCGCTCGCTCGCTCGCTCGCTCGCTCGCTCGCTCTCTCTCTCTCTCTCTCTCTCTCTCTCTCTCTCTCTTTCTCTCTCGCTCTCTGTCTGTCTCTGTCTGTCCCTCCATCCCACGCCTATGCCTGCTCTTGCCTTTCCCGCAGATTTTGGAAACAAAAATCATAGCTAGTCTGAGCCTGAGGTGTTGAGGGGTTTGGAGCTTGCACCTCCAGTTGTTCTTCTCGCGTAGGACTGTAGGATCCTTAGCAGGGCATGACATGAACGTGTAGGGGGTCGTTTCCTTGTCTTCAGCCGCGCTCTGACCTACTGTACGAGACCTGCAAACACAGAAGCAACCGCTCTAAACACCAAGCCCAAAAACCTAATGGGCTAACAAAGGGAGGCCATCGTAATCTCAAAACGAGAAAGCAGCAAACCCCGAACCCTGAACCTGAAACCCAATACCCAGACCCCCGGGAGGATCCAAAAAGTGGGATCCTTTATCGGGGTTCCTATAAAGTACCCTTAGTAGTTTAGGGCCCGGGGTTCCTATAAAGTACCCTTAGCAGTATAGGGCCCCAAATTAGGGGATCCACTTTCTAGATCCTCCCGGGGTCTGGGTAGTAAACAGCAGAAACGGAGGGTTTGGGGTTTCTGCTCTCAGTCTGCCTTGGGGCAACCCGAAGTCCCAGGCTGAGGAGGTAATGGAGGGGCCATAATGAATAGGATAGGGTTCCTTCGAGGGCTCCCTTTCGGAAGGGGTGGGGGCCTTGCTTGTTTCCATAGCTTTTCAGAGTATATCATCGTACGTGATTTTAGGATCCTTCGGTAATTACTTAGGCGTCTATGTTAGGAAGTTTGTGTTGTGAAGCGCATCCACAGCTCAGGGTCTACATGGCCTACGTAGACGGCTGGCTCAAGCCTTGCACCAGGGCAGCAGGGAGTGACACCAGCCAGAAGCAAGGGTTTGTCGTTTGCAAGTTTGTGCTTTGCAGCAAAAGAAGCTACAAACTGAGTCGCAGGCAGAAGCGCTGAAGATGAGGCAGAAACCCCCAAGCGCCAGCTATACTCCCGAAGTGCTGGCTGGTCAAACAGATAAAGCAGATCCATAACAAGTGAACAAGGACATGCACATGCCAAAATGGTACATTGATACAACAGCAATATGCATGTACAGCAGGTCATTCCTCGATGTATATTCAATCATTTACTGATGGTTTTTAAAGGCCTAAGCAGCGCTTTCCCGCTTTCAATGCAGAGGTGGCTTGAAGGGGCCTGATGACGACGAGGAGGACGACAAGGCCTGACTGATGGAGATACATATTTGCGCCCTTGCAACTTCTTGACTACAAGGGTTTAGGGTCTCGCGCTCCGGATACGAAACAAGCTTTGTACATATGTATATGTATATAATGTGTGTATATTTATGTATATATGCACACGTAATGCACGTTGCTTGACGTGTCGCGGAGTGTCCTCAAGGTCCTCAGCAAAGGTTGATTCAGACGAAGCCAACATGCTGCGAAAAGCAATCGCTGCCCTGATGTTTGTAAGTATGGGCAAGCATGGCTTGGTATTCAGAAGAAGACTTTATCCGTGGGATGAGATGCCGGTGTGGCATCCATGTCTTCCTTCATTTCGTATCCCCCGCCCTCTTTACCAAGTTTTGGCCTTGCCAGGCCTGGCCCTTCCCCTGCCTACCTTCAACTCGGAATCTTAAGCCTCGGCCCAACTGCCAGACCCTGACCTCAGCTCTGAACCCTAACTGCAAACCGGAACCCCTCAACCCTAAACCCCTAAACCCCTAAACCCCAAACCCCAAACCTAAACCCTAAACCGTGTAACATGTGCTGGCCTCTCCCTCCTGGCCATCCGGCCTCTTTCTGGGACGCGCGAGAGTGGACTTGCTTGGGAGAACAGGGGCTCGAAAAAGAACCCTAAGCCTTAATAAAGGGGTCTAAGTAATTACCAAAGCTATTGTGGGGGTTCCTTAATGTGGTGACAGTATAATGTACCCCCAAAACCCTGTTCTAATTATTAAGGCCCCTAAATTAAACCCCTAAACCCCTAAACCCCTCAACCTCAAACTCAAGAGCTCCCGAGGATCTAGTTGCAAAACAGCCCATGGAAAGCCCCGAAAGCCAGATCTTTGAAGCCTTCAGCTGGAGATTTCCCTGTAGTACCCCATAAGAGCTCCCATGAAGGCTTCCCTTTAAGGGTTTAGGGTTTAGTGTCATTTAGGGTTTAGGGTTTAGGGTTCTCCATGCTTGAACCCTAAGCTTGTTCAAGGTTCATCGGGTTTTGGGATGACTCCTAAACGAAAGGCTTCAAGCCACAAGTCAAGGGCCCCCAGTAATCCCCGAAGAGGAGGAGGGCCTGCTTCAGACCGATACGAGCACCGACTCTCAGGGGAAACGTGCGGGGCCACAGGGCGGGGTTTCGCATAAGGGAGTTTCCGAAAATATGGGACCCTAGTATGGTACCCTAAATAGTAGGATCCTTGCGATAAGGACCCCTAAGGTGCCCCCTAATTTTCGGAAACTCCCATATAGGAGGCTGAATCATTTGGAACCCTAAGGCTCTAAGGGCTCGTATTATAAGGCGTCTGGGCCCAAAGACCATACTACATAAGGCTTTCCGGTGATTTGGAGCCTTGGGGGAGAAGGGTTCTTTGGGGGATCGAGGGTTTCAGATTCAGGTCTATTTGGTCTTCCAGGTTTCAGGGTTTAGGGTTCTGGGGTGGAGAGTTTACGTCGTATTGCCTCGGTTTTGGTGTTGCCTTTTTCATGATGATGGGGCTGGGCGGGCGGGCGTTAGAGTACGCCCCGGAGTAGGGTTGAGGGTAGACCTTCAGGGAGGTCTGAGAGTTCAGGGTGGATTTCGGGTATTATTCCCTTTCGACATGAAGTGCCCAGATGTGCGTAAGTAGGGAGTACAGAGCCCTGATAAGATCCGATAGGAACTCTAACGAACCGTCATGACAGCAAGCTCGTGTTCAAAATTGCCAATATGTGACGGTCCTTGTGGATTTCTTCGCGAGCAGGTCCTCCCGCTCCCCAAAAATGTTCTCAGTCTCAGCGGCAACTTCTTGTCTTCTTTAAGGAAAGCAGCCTCAATTTTCCTTTGTTCCAGAGGCCCCATTAACAAGGGAAGGCAAAAGACCAGATCCCAGTAAGCATTTCAGTGGTACTTCCTATCTCCCCGGGCAGAGCAGTAAGGCAGCAACATCGTGGTCGTGGCGTTGTTGGGGAGCACCGGGCCCCGGATATGTGCGGCTGTCTTGCGGAGTTCTGGGCTGTTGGGTTATGAGCAGAATTCCGGACCCTAAACTCAAGCCCAAAGCCAAAAACATTCAACCCGGAGGCAGAAGTGCTGTCTCCCTAAACCCTAAGCCTTATGATCCCTTAGGCTTTCCCAGCGCCGCAGTCTCCTCCTCTTCGCCGGTTCGGCTCAGAGTCCGGGTTTTAGTGCGGATCGTCGGTTGCGCTGCCAGGTTCGGTCCGGTTTTTCGTTAGGGATTCCGGGTTCAGCATTCGAAGTAGAAGTAATTAGGGCTTTTCGGGTTGAAGGTGTGTGTATTTTTTCCATTGAGGGTTTAGGGGTTATAGAGGCTTTGGCGTTGTAGGGTTCAGCCCTGGAGCGGTTGAGTTGTTGGGGTTTTGCTTCTTTCCTCGGCTGACGCCATGGAGAAGTTCAAGGCCTCGCTGGGTAACCCTGCGCCCTCCGCTCTGGCAGTGCGCACAGCCCACAAGAAGCCTGGCTTTAGGGTTCAGGGTTTAGGGTTTAGGGTTCTTCTCTTGCAGGGGGCTGCGGTTGCGTTTAGGCTTTAGGGCCTGGAGGGCCTTCAGGTCCTTTCAATCAGCCTTTCCTGTACTCCTGAAGCCAAGGACCTATATACATATATATATATATATATATACACACACATGTATATCTGCATATATGTATATATGTATGTATTTGTTTGTATATGGATATGTATATGTATATGAAGATGTAGATGTAGATGCATAGGTATATGTACATGTACATGTGTATGTATGTGTATATGGATATGTATATGCGCGCGACGACGAGCATGACATTCCAACGTTCGTCTGGGGTTTACGGAACGCTTGCCTTTTGCAACAAAAGGTTGATTCTTTTGGGACAGTGCAACACTTTTGCAGGAAACTTAACAACAACGCTGTACTGTCCAAAAAAACCATCTTTTTTTCCGCAAACGTGCTGTATTGTCACCAACAAAAAGCCAATCTTTTCCAGTCTAGGAGCCCGCGAGGTCCCAGGACCACAGAAGAGTGGTTTTTTTTGGTACAGTACAGCACTTTGAGGAAAAAGATAGGTTTTTTGAGGACAGCAAAGCACTTTTGCAAGAAACTTAACAATGCCGAGTTTGGTCTTGGTGCCATAATCTGGCACTAACTTTGCTTGCTGCCTATACGGTGATGGTGCCCCTTTTATAGCGACTTTCCTCAGCATAGTGCCGTTGGACAGCACAGTAGGAACACCCATGGATAAACCAAAAAGCTGTCAAGAAGGTAGGCAACGCAGGCCCAAAGCAAGATATAGATTGTCCCAGGACCCCCAAATTCTGCGGTTCAACGACATACCGTTCCAAAGACCCTGCCACCGAAAACCAGGAAGCACTATCCAATGTGGGTTGTGCCTGTGCAAGAAGTTTTGAAGATGACTGGACCACCACCTGGGCACCAACAGCTGTTGCTCGTCCATGCAGATACTTGAAGCCCATAACTTAAAGACTTAAGCCGTAAACAAATCTATACATGCCCTAGAATGTAAACCCAAGCGCTATATCCTGATCCGCTGAAGCCCTAAACTCAAGATGCGAAACCGTAAACCGAACAGCCTTTCATTCCGACGACCTGGCCGTGAGGATTGAGAGATCGTTCCGAAGAGGGTTTACTAACATAATGGATCCTTCTTGGAGATTGGGCTCTACAAGTCAAATTCACCGCTAACGAAGGACCGTATCTCGGGAGTCCGGGGTTGTGTTTGGGTTTGGGTTTTGGGATGTTTTGGGAGTTTCAGGTTTCTTCCGGGCGTCCATCCGCATCCGGACATGTGGAACTAGCGGTTGGCAGCTCCTTCAGACGAGCACTGGTAATATAGAGGGGGTTCCTTGTTATACTTATAGTATAATGGGCACCCAAAACCCTGTTCTGATTATTAAGGCCCCTACAGTAGTTGAAGTAGTCGAGTTTAAGCTTTCAACCCCTCTTTGAATTTCATGACTGAGTAGAGTCGTGATGCAGTGGTTAGAGCCTGCACTCAGGAGGTTATCCTGGTCCTGGAGACCCTTAGAGCTAAGTCCTTCATCATCGTGGAACCATGTATCATCGATCAGTGCATACCCCTAATCCTCAACCCTAAAATTTAATCCTGAACCTGCAACCCCAAATCCTGAAAACGAACCCAAACCAACTTCGAAGAAGTGGGCCTTATGCCGGCAAAGAACCAGCCTAGGCTTGCCGAAGGCCTACTGAAAAAGTGGAGGCTGCTGGAAGCTCCCAAGTCCTTGGTTTTGGGTTTCGGGTTTAAGGTTTCGGGTTTAGGGGTTTAGGCTGTAGGGTTCATGGTTTGGGGGCACGAGAGCCTGTGAACCCTCAAATTCTGAACCCTAAACCCGGGCTTCATCTTGGACAGTAGTGGTACTCGTATGTGCTCAAAGTCTAGGATTGCAGCGGATGAAAATTTTGATGAGGGTGTCTTAGCGGGGTGTGAGTGTGGGGGGTGGGGGAGATGTTGTCGCATCTTCGGGCATCAAACGCTCTAATGCCAAGTCGTAATGCGGCTTCCTGTTGCGACGTTCCCAATCTGTGTTTGGACATCCCTAGGTAGGGCTTTGGGACATTTTATATTTTCCCTTATTGGGCTTAAGAGGATCTTATTTACTGATATTTTTCAAAGGCTCGAAAAGCCCCACCTAGACCCGGGTTCGGGGTTCTTGGGTTGGGCGAGGGTTTCGGCTTCAGAGCCCTTCAGAGCCTGTGCGACTCAGAGATCCTTGATATGGGAGTTCCCTCACCAGAGCTCCGGGTGGGGTGGGGTTGCTTCAAGCCCAAAGCGTCGATGACATGCTTTAAACCCACCGAAGCGTCCACCGCGCACCTTCATGCACTAACTCAGCACCTAGAAAATGGCGCAAAATGCCTTTCACGTTCACTTTGAACGCTAGACCTTATACACATATACACTGCAAGCGCCTTGCTGCCTGGCTTGCGCTGCTCTGCATTGGCTGGCGGATTCCAGGGCTCCTGAACCCTCTGAAGCATCTCTGAATCTGTCCCATCGTGTTGTCGAGCTTGAAGTCCTGTGAGGGAGCGTTTGTCGCAAATTGAATGCCTTTGAGACGACAAAATCGATGATTGTGGGTCTCCACCACGTCGACCTCTCAGACAACCGAAAGATGATTTGGACATTGGCGGAAAAGGCTTTTCAAATGACGATTTTGGAGCGTTCCCGGTGGCAGAAACGCCGGACAAATGTAGGCTGCCTTGAAGAGGACTTCCACAAGGAGCGTCGGCCTCCCCGAGAGTGCCCGCATCCATAAGGCCACTACGACGCCTCGATCCTGTACTACCCTTGTACAAGCTCGAGGCTTGGCGGTGAAACGCGGCAGGATGCGGCAGGGGTGAACCCTCTAAACCCTAAAAAGAGTAATTCGGGTGGCCGGGCGGGTTAACGAGCGACGCGCGCGCGCGCGCGCCTGCGGCCCGGGGTGCTTCACGGCCTGGGTGCTTCGACCTCGCATGACGCGCCCTAAACCCTTCCTAAAGCCTAAGCTCCGCGCACCACAGGCCCGGCTGGACTAGCATCATGGTTTCGCACCAGTGGTTGGGTACACAGCTGCTTGCCGGCAACTGAATTCAGGGCCCAAAGATGCCCCAAGCACTTCAAGGATCAGAGGTGTTAAGGATAAGAGCGGTTTATGGTCAGTAGGGGTTCATAGGAGTAAAAGAGATTCCGGAAAGGTTTGGTTGGTTTTGAGGTTGGTTGCCCTCTGTTGCTGCCTTCTAGTCCCGTGATCCTAAAGTACGGGTCTATTGGAGCCACAAAAGTGCTCGACAGGGTTGAGGGCTATGAGTAATGGTCTACGGGGTTTTGGGTCCGGGAATGTTGGAAATCAGTATTCCTCGTTCGGCTCATCTTCCTGTGTAGTAGGAGGCCCCCCCAAAGGAGGCTGCTTTTGTTTTGCAGTCATGGTCATGAGCACGTGATGATCGCAGCGATGATAGTTATGACGACGATCATTACCGGCTCTTATCGTAGCTTATGTGAGCACCTTGAACTTTGCCTTTTCTATCAGCCGCTCACTCCTTAATCAATACATAAATGACCGTTTCAAGGAACCCATAAGCAGCAAACAACTACATAACTGCATAAGCAGATAAATAGTAATAGGCCAGTGAAATGAAGGAAAGAAGCCCGACATCTTTTCAGACGGCATGTTGGGATTAATGCGAACAGGATTAGAAGCAAGATCTATCGAACGAAGGCATCCAGATATCCGGGGAGAGCACCTGGCCATCCTCCAGGGGGCTCTCCAAAATATCATCTCGGGTGGCTCGGCTTCTTGCAGGTGTGGGTTTACCAGTAGTCTCCATTGTCGCTCCTGTTTTGTTACACCAACTTTATGTAGGATTCTACAAGGCAAGCACAAGAAGGAACTACAATGGAGTCTAGTGTGTGATAAAGCCATTTGTAACGTAATACGTTTGAGTAAGGGTTATCCTGGTTCTCAGGACCTGAAATAGAATGGGGTTGTATTCAATCAGGGTCTACATTATAGGCTCCAGCTTCCTGAGCTGAAGAAGTGAACCCAGATATGCTCAAACCCTGCACTGTCCCTACACACCCGAAAGCCTCAAGCCTGTTCCTGACTGTGAGTCGAGCCCAGCTCCTCCTCAAGGCTTCCAATACATCTGAAACCATTTCAAGGATCCCACACGTTTGCCGGGGATTTTTTCCAACTCCCGGAAGTTTCAACCCATACTTGTCCCACCATTATGCGTTACCGCATTTGCGTTGTTCGGGCAAGGGTGTGTCGGGACTGAGGTGAAAGACTAGGGCGTTTGGCACATCTCGAAGTAAAGCCCATGCCCCGTTCTCCCACCATTCATGCCCCTATACTGCCTCCTATCAAGCATCCGGTAGACCCGATCAAATCCGATAAACCCCATTAGACCCTTAAGCGACCTTGTTTAACCATAAAGGCTCTTGCATCAGGTTG